AGAAGAAGGGAGAGAACGAGAGAAACGAAGGAGAAGGAACAATTAGATCGATCTCCAATAACCTACCATAAACTTTTTTTTTTTTTTTTTTTTTTTTTTTTTTTTTTTTTTTTTTTTTTTTTTTAGTCCGTAATACCCATTCAAAATTATCCAAATATTTTCCCAATTCCACTGTTCATCGTCATCTTGAAGAAGCCTTCAGTTAGTCTTCATCGTCATCGAACTGTTTCTTGAACTTCCTGCGTTTATCATGTCTCTTGTTGTCCCCTTTCTCCTTGCTTATTTCATTTCCGTTCTGACCAACTTTCTTTCCGTCTTTCCTGTTTCTCTCTCTATTCCGATTTCTTTTCCTCTCTCGCTTCCTCTTCTCTCGCTTTTCGTTCTTGCGTTTTCCTTTCCCTCCCTCTTTATCCCCTTTTCCCTTATCCTTTTCCTTCCGTTTCTTGTCCTTCTTGCCCTCTCCGTCGTCACTGTCGAGCGCTTCAAATTCGTCGTTGGATTCATCACCCGTTTCCTCTTCGCCTCCGCTTCCGAAAGGGGAGTCGTAGAAGAGGTCGTACCCGCCGTCGTAATAGGGATAGTCATCGTAATAGGGATAGTCATCGTAGTAGGGATAGTAATCGTAGAAGGAAGGGTCGAAGTCGTCGTACCAGTCGTTCTGGACCCAAGTCGAGTGGCAGGTGCAGGCTAGTCCGTACATGTTGCCGTAGAGGTATTCCGGGTACATGTCGTCGTAGAAGTGGTCGTCGTAGTAGTTGTAGCCGTCGTAGTAGTTGTAGTCGTCTCCTCCGGAACTGGTCGTGTTGCTGTCGAATCCTTTGCTCTGGATGTTCCTCCCTTGGGTAGGCCTATTCCCCTTTCTTCTGTTATTACGTCTGATTTTTGGGCCTTCTCTGTTCCTTCTCGGCGGCTTGCTGTGCCTCCTTCTTTGCGTTCCTCGTCCACCTCCTTCGCGATCTTTTCCTCCACTTCTTCCGCCATTTCTTCCCTTCTCATTCCTCTTTCGCTTTCCGTTTCGTCGACTTTTCTCTCTACGTCCGCCTTTCTCTCTCTTGGAATTGCATTTCCATCTGAAACAAGTACGGGAGTGCTTATAAACTCGTTCAGACACGCGCACACACACACGCACGCAAACATAGATGTGTGTATATGTGTCTGTGTGAGTATGAGCGTGCGTGTGTGAGTATGTGTGTGTGTTTGTGTGTGTGTGTGTGTGTGTGTGTGTTGTGTGTGTGTGTGTGTGTGTGTGTGTGTGTGTGTGTGTGTGTGTGTGTGTGTGTGTGTGTGTGTGTATCCATATGTATGTACTTTTTAACTAGTCCGAATTTTCAATATTCGCGAACAAGAATGCAAATGCGATTTTTTTTTTTTATCTGAATGCAGAAACGCACGAATTAATTTCAGCTGAAAGAGCCATAGAAAACTGAATGGACATATTTCTGTGTTTTCAGGGTGTAGAATGATGAAAAATTCTGAAAAAAATGTGTCTCTGGTCAAAAGATTCGGGAAAAATCCTAGTGTTTCTGTAGATTGCTTTATATGTTGGTGGCTATGTAGGTATACATGCACAAATACACACACATACACACACAAATTCTCACACAAATACACACACATGTACACACAAATGCCCACACAAATACACACACACACACACACATATAAAAACCCACAAATAAACAAACATGCACACACAAATTCCCACAAAAATGCCCACACAAATACACACACAAATGCCCACACAAATACACACATACACACATAAAAACCCACACAAATAAACAGACATGTACACACAAATGCCCACACAAATACACACAAATACACACACAAATACCCACAAAAATACACACACATACACACATAAAACCCACACAAATAAACAAACATGTACACACATGCCACACAAATACACAAAACGCAAATGTACACACAAATGCCCACACAAATATGCACACACAAATACACATACACACGCAAATGCCCACACAAATACACACACAAACACACACACAAATGCCCACACAAATACACACACAAATGACCACACAAATACGCACACACACACACACTTACAAACACACACACTTACAAACAAACACACACACCCACACACACAAACGCAAACGCTCACACCCACACAAATAAAAAGCCAAACATACCCATACCCATACCCATAACCATACCCATACACACAAGACACACCACCCATCCCAATATCACTCACTACCACTGCTCCCTTACTTAGTGCACCCGCAGACCTCCTTCTGTCGGCAACCGGTGGTGTCTGTGGGCGGCTCTGGGCATGTCGTGGGCTTTGGGCGGCAGGTCACTTCACTGGCCTTGCACCTTCATTGGTTAGAGAAGTGAATATGTGATTAACAAAAGCTTAAGTAAAAGTATGGAAACTCATTAACATGGATGCTGTAGGTAAAGAGATGGAATACCCTATACACACTCAAATAGATAGATATATATATATATATATATATATATATAT